TTTTGCAAGAGGGTGTCAGGTTTTCTGTGTACCTAGAGAAATAATTTCTTATACCTGCATTTACCTACCAATATCTCTAAGTCGTTTGGAAAGGTTGGCAATGAAATTGGGTTCACACTGTGAAAAGGCTTTCCAATAGTGTTAATTGAAATTATACCTATATAAAACTGCTAGCATATTCCATCAAGTTCTATACACGCTAGGATGAATTTAGCCTGTTATCCTCATTGGTTCTCATATCTTCTGAATTCAATTATCCCAGGAATGCTTCCTTCTTACTTTACTTTGCTGAGGATACTCAAATTAAGAGTAACAAAATTGCTAGAGAATGTAGGAATTGTTTGCCTTTTTAGGTAGAGGTATATGTTTTGTTAAGAGAAAGTGGCATTTCTGATCTGGTAATCTGAGTCATGACTTTAGTTTATCATCAGTGCACCTTAAAATAATCTTGTCATTTCAAGTGGTTGCACTGAGAAACTACACTGTCGACCATACCCTTGAGTTTTAAAGATGTTTAAAAAGGCATTGTAGTTAGTTCTAGTCTGGACTGTTAAATTTTTTTTAACCGTTCTATTATTTGGTAAATTAATCATTTAAGCATTAACGGAGGGGGTAAGCCCCAATATTGGGTGTCCACTCCACCCACCAACAATGGGTAAAAATTTGCACAACATTTTTATGGTAGATAAAGAAGAACTGCAACGTGCACTAATTGGATAGGGTAGTTTACTCTTTAAAATGCTGTAACAACATAAAACTTTATTTATTTATTTATTTTATAACAGGCGCTTAATTTTAGCTAGTTCTTAAAACAGGAGCTAGGAAATATTTTACATGTTACAAATTTCCCCTAAACCAAGCATCTTCCTTCCACTATCCCAAACCACCGCCCCCCGCCCAAAAAAAGGAGGAAAAAAAGGCGACTGCTTATTTACACAGAAGAAACGGTTAAGCAGAAAGCTCGGCCTGTTAGTTGGAGCTGTTGAACATCTTTACCTGATAAACATAAATATTATTTGTCAACAAATGCTGACTCTGCCAGGTCGATAGCACGAGCGAGGCCAGCAGCTTTGTTCTGGCACTCCAAGTCCTCATCATCGGGATTACTGTCAGCAACAATACCAGCACCAGCTTGAAGGTAAGCCACCCATTCGCGGCGTCCATTGGCACCCTTGTAGGAGTACATTGTATCATACTGGGGTCCAGTTGGGAACACCATTGTCCTGAGGGCCAATGCTATGTCCATGTCACCAGTAAAGGAAACGCCACCAAATCCTCCACTGTAAGGGCCTCGCCTGTTCACCTCCAACTCATCAATTAGCTCCATTGCCTTAACCTGCATCAATTTCTCAACCATCATCAAAACAGAAACTTATATGGAAAATAAAAAATGTGAAAAACACAAGGGACACAAGACAAGTACTGCACCTTTGGTGCTCCACTAACAGTTCCAACAGGTAGTGCAGCACGAAGGACATCCCAAGAAGTTAGATCTTCCTGCAACTCACCCGTAACCTGCGTGATTAATGAAAAAACTCAGCCTCATTCACTAGCATTACTTACGGAATATTTGAAGCAAATGCCTTGTCTAAATACAAGTATATATTCATACCGTGGAGCTGATGTGCATTACATGGGAATATCGTTCAATATTCATCAGCTTCTCCACCTTTACTGAGCCATACTTCGACACCTACACAAATAATGCAAGTTGCAAATAACCAGCCAGTTTGATCTATTTTAACAGAAAAACCCTATTTATTGTTTACAAACGGTAGAATATCAGTTTGGCAAACCTTTCCAACATCATTTCTTCCCAAGTCGACAAGCATAATGTGTTCCGCACATTGCTTTGCGTCACTGAGCAACTGCTTTTCCGTCATCTCATCTTCTTCTCTTGTCTTCCCTCTCCTTGCTGTTCCAGCCAGTGGTCTATTCACAATCTTGTTCTGCTCATTCCAACATAAAAAGTTAATTGTCAACCCAATAATGAGCCAAGTGTGCTAGACTGCTAGACTCGATGATTTAAAATCACTGCACAATTGGTATACCTTTTTCACTCGCGTAAGTATCTCCGGACTTGATGCAACAAGAATACATCCTCTAGCCTGAAAAGGAACATAAATGGTGAATAAACAAAAGAAGTAGTTATCAACTGACAAAAACCACTGCTGTGTGTATGTACTGATACTCTAGAAAAGAAAAACTTACTTGCAAATAAGTCATGTATGGACTTGGATTAACAACTCTTAATGATCTATATATTTCGAAGGGGTCAGCAAATGTTCGACGTTCAAAACGTTGACTCAATACAATCTGGAAGATATCCCCAGCTTGTATATGCTCTTTTGCTTGGAGAACAGCTTTCTTATATTTGTCACTTGTCATGTTTGACTTCTTTAAAGAAGCACCAAACTGACGAGTAGGTAAATTTACAGAACCAGCGGATAGCTTTGGACTAACAAGGAACAAAATCAAAAGTTGTGTCAGAGAAAAACTGAAAAAGAAGATAATTAACGCCATAAAACAATGCAGTAATACACTAATGGCATCAGTCACACACAGATTAGCATCCTGTAGTCTTGAAGCCAGCTTGTCCAGGTGTTTCATTCCTTCATCATAAGCTTGTTTGACAGAGGAGTTCTGGTCTAGCCTCACCCAATGAATGATATATACCCTCTACAAACACACATAATAATACTTAATAATGCTTGAAACATAAATCCCTGATACTTTCTGACAAAATCCACTGAGAAATTGAGACCAGAATTTTGATGTGATCAGATCATTCTTGTTTAACATAGTTTACAAGGGAATAATTAAAACCAGTAAAATGGAGATTTTTTTTTTTTTTCGGAGAGAAAAAAAGATGGCAAATAAGCTCAAAAAATGACACTTCGATATCTAATCCATGACAGAGTAACATTTGAAATATAAATTTAGAGAGGACGTTTGGCAAAAAGGAAAAAATAAATCATAACAACCATTTACTAAAGCTGAGTGCAGACAGCCTATGGTTGGGGAGAAAGAAATACAGAGACAAACGCCAAAAGAATTTTGTTGCAGAAACATAGACTTGTAGATGTAATACCTTTTCCACGTGATCAAAAACAATCACATCCTTATAAAGGCCAAGATGTATGTCTGCAAGGTTTCTATCATCCTCCGGTGCTTTTAGGAATGGAAGTTTTTTCTTTTCCACATATCGAACTGTATCGTATGAGAAAAAACCAACCCATCCACCTATTCGTCACAAGAATTTATTACTAAGAGCGGATCCATATACAAACCAGACTAGCCAAAAATGAAATGAGATATATAGCCAAAATAAATTTTTTTCCTACATTATTATGAAACAACTATAATAATAAGAGAATCTTCATTAACAAGCCCCATATTTGAAGTCATAAAGCAACTTGACATTGACACATGCTGCATAAACTGTTAATTTCTGGACAAATCTGGATCTTGGAGGGCGTTGTCCAATTTATTAAACTATTGCAGTCTTTATCTCTAGTCCACCACAAGATACATTCAGCTCATTACATTCATCACTTCTATGGCAAGGCCAATCCCTCACTTTTGACCAACTCTGATTTTATTTTGGTTTTCTAATTCACCCTCTTGAATGGTTGAAGGGGTTATGAATCATCTAAAATTCCCAAACCTCTATGGCTTTCTAGGCAAGCTACATTACATACTACATCCAAAAAAGCATGTACCAACTATACTGAATGTATACTTCAGAATGACCAAAATGATCAACTTCATTACAGGAATTTGGAATAGACGCATTTGTTAGTCTTATTGAATCCTTTTAATTGTCTTTAAGTATTTCAAACAAGTTGTCGAATTTTGTCGTTAGCACCATAAATTTTGTCATTGAGATTAACATGATTGGCGGTATCTTATGGCCAGGCCAAATTAACAAACTTCCCTTTTTATGCAGAAGTCAATGCATCTGCCATTAACGACCACTAACGGTCCATTAAATTACTAAGAACAGCAAACTACTTTTCAGTCTATCTTTACTCCATCTCAATCCCAAGCCTAGCAAATTTGAGCAACTTTTATTGGAAGCTCCTTGCCATCAAACATAGCTAAATTCAAACTACAAAAACGAAATAAATCCTGATTAAGATCAATAACATGCTCTTACCACAAAAAGCATCTGGGAGCTCATCAATCAGTTGTGGTTTCCAACTGTCTGAAAATTTTCTTGGAACCATCATGGGATCTTCAACAAACTCCTCAGTCAAGCTACCTTCCTCATGGTCCATTACAATGACCTTGTTTTCTTTGGCCACAATTTCCACTGATGGTTGTGCTCCAACCACGCTATAGCGCCCCTAATCCAACAAATCCAAAATCAAATTACAACGTGCAATTTGATCAAGCCCCTACATCTGCAACAAAAAACATAGAAAAAATAAAAACACTTACCACCCTTGAAGACTGGAAACCAGGCTCCACCGACTCAAATAGAAAACTTGGAGCCTCTCGATCATCTTCTTTAACCAAACACCGGTATGCAAGAAGTGGGGTAAGCTGGTCAGAGAATATGCAACGGTGAAGTGGAATCAAATTTCCACCTTTTGAAGCCTCCATGAACTTGGCTGAATCATTAACTGTAAAAAACATTTACCAAGTATGAGATAAAGAACCAAAACTCGAATTCCATCAAATCAAAACCCCATAGCCATAGTAAGAGAGAAAAAGATTAAAGATATAAACTTGTTGAGCTTTAAATTAATGTAATTTCTAATTCATTTCCCATTTTCCAAAGAGGAAAATTAAAACAACACAAAAAATGATTAAAAATTTTAAATTTCCCGCATTGTCACTGACTCCAGAACCCAAAAGGAAATGAAATCAAAGAGTCCAAGACTTAAACTTTTGAATTTAGATTAATTGAACTCCAGTTGAATTTAAACAAACCAACACAAATTCTTCTGCTTTACTGCAGTTTCTCGACAGCCAAACAGAAGAACAACAGATTTCTCAAATAATTAAAAAAAAAAAAAAAAGAACGAGAGAAGATTACCAGTGGCAGAGCTGGAGCTAGAGCTGGAACCGGAGTTTGAAATAGACATGCATTTGAACTTCCTGGCACATGCAAAGGAACACGAGGTTCTACCGTGAATGGCGGTGGCTAGAGCCAGCGGCGGCCGGTGGTGAGTGGGAGAGGCCAAGCGGTGCGAGAGGGCCGAGGCTTGCATTGTCACTGCTGCATTCATCGAGGAAACGCGTCTTTTGACTGTAACCGTTGGACTCCCACCCTTTTCTATTCGAGAATTCCTGAGAAACAAAGAGGGGAACAGGTGAAACGCAGTGGCTTCTCGTGCTTATATAGGTGTGCATGTCACCAAGTTGGTTCTCTCTTTTTTAGTTTCCATTAAGCCCTAAAGAGGTTTCACAAACTCTGTGTTTTTCGTTTTTTTTTTAACGTTAAAATAAAATTAAGGTAAAAATAATATTTTATATCTTTATTTTTCTCAACATAGTTTTAAGTAATATATTTTTTTCTTACAAAATATGGGACTCACGTGATAGTTTTTTCATTAATTTTTCTTATATCATTTTTTGCCAAATATCTATATATAAAAAGTTAATAAACTAACAAAATTTCAATAAAATTTTGTTATAAAATTTAACAAATTTTTGTATAATACCTTTTTTTTTTAATCATTTTTTAGCAAAATTTTTTTCAATAAAATTAACCCTAACCAAATTCGCCCTAAATTTTATGCCTTTCTTGGGATTTTTTAAGTTAATTCATTTTGATTTTTTCTCATAAGTACCAGGTGACTATAGAGATTATTTTAATTAACTGAGTTTTTTAACCAGTGCACTTAACAATGAATTAATTATATACTTTTTATAAATTCTTATGAAAAAATTATTTCAATTTTAATAACAATTTAATTAAAATCGTGACTATATCATGTGTTTAAAATAAAATTAATTTTTTTGATTTTTATACAAATTAATGGGAAAAATTATAATTAATATATTTCTAAAGGCGAATGTTAAATAAATTCATAATTTGAGAAGAACGATGGTAATTTTAGATTAACAACAAAACTAAAAAGTTTGAAGTTTGATTCTATTTCTTCTTTGGTAATTTTAGAGGGGGTTGGTGAAAGGCGTGAAAGCAAATACTACTTATGGGTTAGGGCGCCTTGAAGTAATTTTGGACGAATGAGCCCCTGAATCGTCCAATTTATGCAAATCAGGCCATAGTCTAACGGCTACAGTTAAATTCCATTACTTTCTACTGACGGCTGCGTTAATTATATGGCGTGGCTGTTAAAAGAAAAATAAACAATTGCAATTTAATTCATAAATTAATCAAATTTAAAATAATATTAACTCCGAAACTTTTAACTATATTTTAACAAAATTAAAATTGCAAACCTAGAACTAAACTGACATTTACAGAACAACTTTTCATTGGTTCTTTGAATTTGGTTATTCCTTTTGCAAAGTATTCATATTTAATCTATATGTCCACTTTATATTCATACACATATATGACCAAAATATAGAATTAATGGTATAATATAAATTATGTTATTTAAAAATATTAAAAAATAACTTTTATATTGTTTAATAATTTATTTTTTAAAATTTTTTAAAACTCATAATATTATATGTATTAATTAATTTAATAATTTAATATAAGTTACATTATTAATGTTAAATTTTTATTTTAAATTTTTGTCCACCCTATCATTACTTATATATTAGATTCATGTATAACAATCATAAAAAAATAAACAGCAAAATTCATTTAAAAAATAAATAAAAAGCGAGAAAATGATGAGAATAATAATATTTGTAGTATGTTTTAACAGCAGGTAAATTTTAAATTATCCCTTGCAATATGCTTTGATTATGTACCGCTCACACACGCACAAAATTAAATATGCTTCAATCCTGTATGTATATATATATATATACAGACATATGTATGTATGTATCGATTCAATAACATAAAAATACACTCCGTTTCTTTTTTCGTTTCTCCCAAATACCGATCTTTTGCTCGATACGTTCCAAGTTTTGGAGTTTGAAAAGTGAAAGTGAAAGCATTGGGAATGGAATTGTAATCGTGTATTTGCATTATAAATTTATTAAAAGATTCTTAATGAACAAATATGAGAGAAATTTTATTAAAAATATATTGATATATATAATTTAAATTACATTTTATTTTGCAGTACAGATTAAAAAACCTATTTTTTTTTAATTGATTGTGGAGTGTTTATCCCACGTTGTTTTTGTGTACATGAGTTAAACAACATATATAAATTTTATATAATTTCTAACTAATTGATTTTAAAATTATGGTATATTCTGTTTTTAAAACATTTCACTACTGTTTCAAAAAAGGAGCACATTTTTATTTAAAAACATTAACCCCCTTATATTTAGAAAAATAGTTGAAGTTTAGGGGTTTATATTAAATTTGATCATGAGGTAAATTACAATTGTTTATTTATTTAATTATTTTTAAACGGCTACCACTGCAGACTAACGGACTCTAACAGTAGCCTTAACTGAGGGGCTGATTTGTCTAGATCAGACAGTTCAGGGGTTCATATATCTGCTCAAAAATTAGTACACGGGTTTCATTCTATTTTTTCTTTAAAAAATTTGGCCGGGGGTTGGTGGACGGTAATTAATGCAGTAGGACTTAAAAGGCAAACTTCCAATAAATATATGGAAAGCTAATTTTGGAAGAT